GTACCAATTAAAAAAAGATGTCTTAAATCTTTAAACCCACTTTCTTCTTAACTCCAACTTACATAACTGAGATGTATGGGGAAAACTAGGGCAGGAAACATCACCTCAGAGAGAAACAGCTCCTAAACTCCAGAGTTTTGCAGTACTGCCAGGGAAGGAGGCATCTCCAGTGGCTGAGTGATCGTGAGGAGCTCCGACAGCCAGTCCTTGGCAAAGTACCCACGCTCTGAACGTTACCTTGACGTGCCAAGGTCAGCTAAAAAAAAAAATACACATGTAAAAGTAGATGTCCAAGTTCTCCACCTCACTCCAAACTTCTACAGGAGAAGCAAGAGCTGGAATGGCATTGCTACTCAAGAAGTTTCACACACAAAATGCAACTAGTGAGCAAATGTCTGGGCATATTATCTTATTGCAAAGGCTATGAAAGTACTCACTCTCCTGTGGTATCAGAATTCAGTCAGAACTGCAAAAGCAAAACAAAGCTTTTAGTGTGTTGTTCAAAAAGGTTAAAAAGGAAACGACAGTTCTCCTTTCTCTGATGAGGAAATCCCCCCAAACCTACTGCACATACAGAAACATGGGTGACAAAAATAGATGAAAACAGAAGAGCACAGGAACTGCAGCTCTTCTGAGGTCTGGAGAGACCATTCCCAGCTAACAAGTGCTTGGTTTGCTCATTGCAGAAGTCCCACTGCACATATGGTACAGCTTCAGCTTGCATTCAGACAGAATTGATCTTTCTAGAAGCAGCAGATTGTCCATTAGGCCCATCAAGTCATCATGGGGTTAGAACTGTCAGACATGCATAGCAGAGCAGAAACAGTTCCTGTTATTAAGCATTTATTTATTTAGATGTAATGGTGAAAGACTGCAGGGCTCAAGTACATAAATAAATGCAAAGACAGCCTAGAAATCAGAAGGCATTTGGTTAAAACTAAATGCAACCACCATGTTTTAACTTTCTCCTTCTAGACACTAAATTGCTTGTCATTATGGACAGAATAGTCTCAAGGTCTGCAAAAATATTTCCAAAGAATTATCATAATATTTGAACACTCGACTAAACCAAAAATCCTTTACGACACAGGAGGTCAAACCTTATTAACCCAAAAGCCACACACACATTTAACTCATTAGCTTGTATGAATAAGAAATTTCCTCCTTTCCCATCTCAGAGCTGCAGCTGCTTTGCAACGACTCCAAAAGCCCAGAAAAAGACGTGGATAACTCACGCAGCTTTTATCACATTAGCCACGGGCTGCACTTCCCATGATCATTAGCTTTGAAGTGTATTAAACAAACCAGAACACGACCTTCGAGCTGATATTTTAATAGCTCCACATCAGGACAATTCTTTATCAGAGACACTTTAGTGAGGCCACCAAACGAGATGCTACTGAGAAGTGCCCAAAACAAGCAGGCAGAGAACTCTGTCACACAGCACAGGGAGCCAGGCAGTGACCAACTGCTTTTAGATGCAGAGTCACCACACAGCTCCCAGCACACACCTCCGAGCTTGGCTGAGCTCAGGGACCAAAAAGAAGCAGATGTGTGCAAGTGGATGAGACTAATGCAGAAAAGAAATCAAAGCTTTTTAGTTTCAAACTAATGCAATGTAGCATGGCTTTGCTCATTAGCAAAATGCACAGATTATGTTATCCACGTTTATGTTCAGTCCAATATGCCATTACCATTTTAGAAATGGGATCTGGGGAAGGGAAAGTGAAAAGAGATGACACGGTGCCCTTTGAGTGAAGTCAGGAAATTGAAGATATTTCACACAGGAATTCATCTTACTTGAATTCTCACATTACTGTATTGCTAGAGATCTTCTCCAACACAACCTGCACTAAGGTATTTACACTATAAATAAACACATGCTTAATGTGACCAATGCAGTTTTCCTTACATCCCTGCCATTGTACTGCTTTAAATACCAAGAGCAGAGGGAAGATAAATCCAAAACTTTACAGTTATTATTGAGCTGTGGGATTATTCTTTTTGTCTTGAAGTGGCTACGGCTTTGTTATCTCCAGGACTATTTTACAAAGAAGTTTAAAGAAAATGTGTTCTTCTGCCAAGCCAATAATTCAGGATTCAGAAGGCATTTTCTTTCCTACTGCGGGAAAACGTTATTTCCCCCCCCCATCCCCAAGTTCTGCAAACCTTTAGTCATCCAATTCACAAGACCACGCTCAAAAGACATGAATTACACAAAAATTTTAAAGGTATGTCCAAATTTAAGTTAACTACTCTGGTCTTTCATACATTTAGAGAAAAATACAAAGTTATCACTAATTACAGACATCTCTCCCTACCATCTGCCCACTATACTGCATCTGAGATATGCAAGTGTACATAAAATAGAGAAAAACAGACATTAAACTTTAAAGCCACGTTTGCACACCAGTTTTTAACGTTAGTTTGAATACACAGCTTAATTAAGATGAGGACAGCCTGCAGACTGAGCATAGGACAGATGTACCCTGTATTAATTCCTACTCAGCCTGTGCTTTACAAAGACAGAATAATGTATTGCCCACACAGAACACGGTTTGTTAGAGATTATTTTAAAAGGTATTCAGGCATGCCAAAAATGTGTCTTCATGGATGATGAGCAGCCCAAAAACAAATCTGAAATTCTGAGAAATTTAAAAGGCCTTTAAAGAGCTAAGAGTGGCCAGACCTTGATGTGAAGGATCCTAGAGCACTAACCCATCTCCACTGCTACATTTTGCAATACACAAGATTATAAACTGAATTAAGCCATGCATAAATACAACATTTACATCTACAAATAGATTTCAAGGTGGTCATTACAACAACGTAGAGTTCCTAGAACTCTGCTAGGTTCTGTATGAACATATACACATTCTTCCAGCTGACAGGAGGTAAGAAGAAACCCAAGCCTTAAAAACAAAGCCCAAACCACCCTGGTGTGCTCCTTCAGGAAGCCAGACACTGAGCAGCTCCGAGCTGCATTTATCCCTGGCTGTTCTTGGAATCAACTTCAGCCAGCAGTGCTGTAGCTAAAGAATTCCAAAGGCCAGCAGACACACAGCATACGAACACGAAAGCAGATGTAGGTGAAAGTATTCATGAAGTTGCCACTCATGTGGACAAACTGCTCGCTTAAAATGGTAGCTGGGGAGACAAACTCAAAAGCAAATTTAAAAACTCTTAACTCGATCAGAAGATGTGAGAATACAGGACAGACAGTCTCATGAGGACAAATTTTGGAACTCCTGACTACATTTAACAGGAAACTTCACATTGCCACAAGCCTTCACACTGTATCACCACATCTCAGGTTGCCCTGTGTAATTCTGTAGGCAACACCTACCTCAAAGAAAAAGCCACCAACCTTTTTCTCCTCCCTCCCTTGCCTGGGCTACTATTCCTCATCACGCTCAACCAAGCTACAGTAATTCTAAAAAATTCAATGGACTTAAGCCATGGCTTAAAAGAAACCCCAAACAACCAAAACCCAACAGAATCTGGAAAAGTATCACAAAATTGATGGAGGGGAATAACAACCTATTTTAAGTTTTAGCAGCTGCAGGATTGCAGCTTCGTAGCTTTATTTAAAACGTACAATTTTCACTGAAAGAATAAAATACCATTAACAGGTATTTATTTGGCTCAATCTATGCTACGACATTTCAGTAAACACCTCTCACTTATTTGGAATGGCATCGTTTTCCTTTAGATTACACCAAAAATGAGATGAGAATTGAGGAATCAGAGCTCGAAGGCGATTAACAGCACAAAACTCATACACATTATGCAGGTTTTAAGCAGCCCTTTAATACCAAGACGTGTGGAGTATTTGATACATGAGAGATGATACACGGTCTGATTAAAACAAGCTGCTGCGGGAAGGAGAAAATGCACACATGTTTTAAAGTGCAACAACCCAGGTGCTTTTTTTCCCCCTCTTTCTCCCCCTACGCTGTTCTTGCTGAGGTAAGTGGAGGGCGTGGGGACAGGTAACACACAGGGACACCTGCACATGACCCGTCTGTTCCCACAGACACCAAACTCTTCCCACCTCTCCCATCAGTGCCGCAAGAAGTTGCAGCCAACGCCTGACAAGTTCAACGCTGAAGCTGCTCATCCGCATGTTCACGTTGGGGAATTCATGTGCCTTAACGTGAGGTAATACGGACCGGTATTAAAAAAAAAAAAATTTAAAAAAAAAAGAGTTTTAACAGTGATGCATCAGAAACGCAGATGCAAACCCAAAACTGAGGTGATGCCTTACTATTAAATTTTAATATTCATTTTTAATAATCGAGCTCTTTCTGCAATATAACGTAAAACTTTAAAGCTCAAAGCTTACTAGTAACAGCGTTACCTCGACAAATAACACACAAGTTTGGTTGTTTTAATGGCCAAAATGCAGAACGCTCGGCGCTCGCACACGGTCTGCGGCGCGCTGAGCCAGCCGGCAGGATCGGGGGTGCCACGGCCGGGAGCAGCCCCTCACAACCGGGCTCTGGAAGCCCAGCTGCGGGCTGGGAACGGCCGGGAACAGCCCCCCCGACCCGCGGGACACCCCGGGCGGGTGTTGGGGCACGACTTTCCCCTCAGCACAACTCCAGCTGGAGCGCTCCCGCCGGACCCCCGAGGGAGCCCCAGCCCCTCGGGGGCGGGGGAGGGAGCGCGTCCCTGCCCTCGCTGCCCGCAGCAGGGGAGCGAGCACCTGAGGGTCCCTGGGCTTGACTTAGGGGGTTCCGGGCTTGATTCCCACTCAATTTGGGGTTATCCCGCGGGGAAGCAGCTCCGATCCCGACCGCCCCTCTCCCGGCGCAGCGGCGGGCGCAGCCCGTGCCCGTCCCTCCCTCAGGTGCTGAGGGAGCGCCGGCGACCCCCGCACGGGCAGCGGCTCCTCCGCACCGGCACGGAGCGGGGAGCCTCGCTCGTTTATAACAAATAAACTAGAGCCGCCCGGTGTGTTCGCACACACAGACCCGCCACGGGACGAGCGCACTCACCGGCACTGCCGCCGCCCTGCCCGCTGCCCGGCGGTGCGCCCTCCGCTCCGCGCTCCGCCGCGGCTCCGCTGGGCTCGGCTCTGCCGGGCTGGGCTGTGCTCGGCTCCGCTCGGCTCCGCTCAGCCCCGCTGTGCCCCGCTCCGCCCGCCGCCGCCCGGGGTAGTGCCTTCGCCCCGCTCCGCCCCGCGCAGCCCCCGCCCCCGCCCCGCTCGGCATTGTGGGGCTTGTGGTCGCGGAGCGCGGACTACGAGCCCCAGGGCCCCGCGCGCGGTTCCGGACAACGCCTGGTGTGTGGTAACACCGCGGGTCTTCCTCCTTCTCCTCCTCCTCCTCCTCCTCCTGCTCCTCGCGGGCGCTTCCGGCGCGGCGGCGGCGGCGGCGAAGCCCCTCGGGAGCGGCGGGGCCCGGCGGGCCGGGGCAGGTGAGGAGCCGAGCCCTGCCCTGCCCTGCCCGGCGCTCCGCGGGGCGGGCGCGGGGCCGCGAGAGGGGCTGCGAATTAAACCCTCCCCCGGCACCGCGGCCGCGCTCAGGGAGCGGCCGGGGCGGCCTGGCCGTGCGGGGAAGGTGTGGGGGTGTCCCCTGCTCTCCCGGCCGGGCGGTGACCTCCTCCTGCCCCCGGCCCCGGCAGGGCTTGTCCTTCCCCCCGCCCTTCCCGCGGCCGCGGGGCTCCGGGGCCCTCCCCGTGCCCGGCCTGGTGCCGGTTCCCGGTTCCCTCGGCCCGGGCCCGGCAGGCGCAGGCCCGGATGTGTTTTATTTTTGTGTGTGTATTTATTTTTAGCTCGTCCTCTCGCAGCGGGCGCTGTCAGGTGGCTGCGGCGGGCAGGGAGAAAGGGCACCTCGGCTCCTTCCTGCGCCGGGGGAGGCTCAGGTTGGGCATAAGGCAGAAATTGCTCACGTCGAGGGTGATTAGATAGGGGAAGGGGCTGCCCAGGGGGGTGATGGAGTCACCGACCCTGGGGGTGTTTAAGGCAAGGTTGGACGTGGCACTCGTTGCTCTGATCAGGGTGACAAGGTGGTGTTGGCTCAGAGGTTGGACTCGATGATCTTGGAGTTCTTTTCCAACCTATTTGATTCTGTGGTTCTCCGATTCCTTCTTAGCACGGTCCCCCCGGGCTGTGCCCCCCTTAGGGACTGAGCAGTCAGGGCTTGGGTGTCCCATTAAGGTGCTCACTGAACGGGTGAGTTTGGCTGGTTCCTCTCCTGTGTCTCACACACACGGGATGGCTCAAACCTTGGGCCAGGTTTGTGCTGTTCCTGTTATCAGAGGAACTAATTGTCCCCTGGGATTTGTTTACGTGTTCGGAGCCGTGTCATACCTGGCGGTGTTTGATAAATAGGTTCACTTTCACATTCCCAAGGAGGTGAAAAAGAAAGAGAAACAGGGGTATGTTGTTGTGATTATATATTCTAACAACCAGGGCCTGTTTCAGTTAAGCTGTATAACAGTTTTAGTGTTGCTGACTAGTGGAACTGGAGCACAGGCTGCGGGTTCTCACGTTAGACACAAACTGGATCTGTTAGGACAGACTAAATCACTTCCATTTTGAAGTCCAGCAAAGGAATATGAACTAATTGTAAGCCTGACTTCGGTTTAGGCTTGGACTTTGTTGACATGGTTCTATAAATAGGCATCTTGGGTTTATCGCAGGTTTGTCTGATTTCTGAATTAGTCATAGAATTGTTCTGACAGTAATAAAACGCAGAAGCAGTTCTGCTTTGTCAGTGAGCTCAACTTGCAAGTGGCTGTTACACGTGTGTGGGGATGTTTGAGAACTGCATCTCTCTGTTCCAGGCACTTTAAAGGCACTTCCAAAAATTCAGTGCTCTTTTCTGGTGACATTCTTCTTCAGTGACACTGCTGGCTGTGAGAGTTAGTAGAATATGGAATCGGTGCACTAGCCTGCCTTTTTGAAATTTCTTGTTATCTTTGCTGATTTTAAAATACAGAGGTTGTTATTTTAAGGTTTGATCTGCATGGTAATCCCAGGGCATTCACCCATAAGGTTTTAAAAAGAAGGAAAGTAATTCTGTATCTGAAGTACAAAGCCTTGAAGCTTTGGAAATAATTGAAATTGGGCAGGTAAGGTAACGTCTGACAAGAAAAAGAGATGTGGGTTTTTTGGTTTTGTGGGGTTTTCTTCTAATTTAGTGACCATTAATAAGAGAAACATAGTTACCAAGCTATGTGTAGGATCTACATATAGTTAAAAGAGCATATTCTGCATTTTTTTTTCTTCTATAAACTTTGCAACAGCAAAGTTGACCTAAACCCCCTCCTTCCATTCACATTGCTCTTACATTTTGATTCAAGCTCTTTGCCTCTGAATTCGGGATGGAATTTCTGCTGTTATTTCCCTTCCCCCACTCTCTCTTCCTGGATTTAGGTTATTTTTTCTGTTAACTCAGGGATCTCAGGTCAGGTTAAAGGTAAAAACCTCTTGAATCCTCGCTGCAGAAAGTGGAGCAGAACTTCTTGGCAAGAGGAAAATCTTTTCTAGCAGGAATAGAGCTGTAGTTTTTGCTAGAAGCCAACCATTGAAATAACTTTCTAAAAAAGAATATTAATATCTAAGCACTTAGGAGATCTGAGGTGGATGGAGCCTGGAGAAGGGAATAGAGACAACTTCCGTGCAGAATTAGATCTGCTGATGACACAACTGAAGATTGAAATCCTGCCAATTGATGCCAAATATTTCTGTTGGTTTAAAACTCTTTAAAAAAAAAGTCAAAATGAGGAGAGTCTGCCCTCTTCTCTTTAAACACTGTTTCAGAAATAGTGTTACACAAACACCTTTCTTTGGTGGACACTTTGCTTGTTTTCACCCTGGCCTATGCACAGGTGTGGATTTTGTGGGTTTGTAGTTCCATTGTGATGGTTGTGTTCTTATTAAGTACCTCTGCAGTTCTGCTTGATTTTTAAGGCATGGCTAAAAGTCTGTCAGTAAATGACACCCATTAGAGAAAGCAAATTGTCACCTCAGACACTGATAATGGTGGTTGAACATCCTGAGGAGGGTGGTGGTTTGTGCTCTTTACCTTTTTTTGGCTCACAGGAAGTTTATCTTAATGTAGGTTGCTTTTTTTTTTTTTCTACCAAGGTTCAGTTGAATGATTTCAAATGTCATTGGATGGCTATGGGGGAATGGGTCTGTGAAGAATCTTTCCAAATCTGTCCTACATCTCTCAGTGTTTGAATGGGATAATATTTTAGTGCTGAGACTTAAAGGTTAGAATGTCAGATTTGTACTGACAGGGAAAGGATGTGTTCCATGTTAGTACCTCTCTTGGTGTGTGTGGTGATTAAGATTGAGCAGGCAGGCTTGTATTAACTGGCATCTTAGCACAGTTTGCAAATCTAGATTCTCTGTAAATTCCCTGTGTCATTCTGTACATTCTCCCCCATTGCTGCTAATTGCACATACCTGGATTTGAATCCGTGGGATCACTGTCACAAGAAAAGCTCAGGCTCACACACAGTGTCATATTTGGCAGGGTCCTGCTGTCTTCTCCTCATCTGCCCTCTCAGACCAATTAACAAGTTTGCCAGCAGAGTAACACCTTTTATGCATCTTACAGCAATTTCCCAGGATTTTCTGAACTGCACCACTCCATTGTGCTGTTCTAATAAATCACCTTCTCGTGGAATCTTATTCCATATTTTTGAGAATGTAAAAATCCAGTTGACAGATGAAACTGGGGTAAACTCTTCTCAAAGAAAAGGCTCTTTGGAGATAGCAGGGAACTGAAGTTAAGCTGTTAGGAGACAGTGTCATGCAGGCTGGCAGCTGTGCAGAGCTGCTTTTGATCACATCCCAGAAGAAATGCTGGAAGCTCCTCGTGGCTGCCTGATAATGTGCATTAAACTTTGGCTCCAGTCAGGCCGTTTTCAAGGTTGGTGAACTTGCTAATAGTTGATCTAAATAATAGAACAGAAACTTCATGGGGATTTGGTCCCTCGCCAGGATTGAGCCCTTCCTCAGGGATATTTGTACATGGTTTAGTGCAGCTGTGGCAAACTGTCTTTCTGTAGCACAATAAATGTGGAATTTTTTATGAAGATCTTTATTCTTTCTATTTAACACCAGCAAAGTCTGAGTGCATAAGTTACATCCAAAAGCTGTGAAGAAGCTGATCCCTGACTGCAAAGATAAATAATGTGGCAGGGTCAGCAGTCAGGTACTTGCCTGACAGTGTGATGCTTCCTAGTGTATCTTCTAGAAAATGGGGAGGTTTCTGGAATAATGAACAACCAGTGTGATATATTGAATATATTTCTTTTCATACATTGGCAACAAAGGCATTTGATGTTCTTATGTATTTCTTGTGTGCATGTGTATATATAAATCCACCTCTCCAGTCACAACACTGGTATCTTTTGTCTTCATATAAATCCAAAGTGGTGTATTTTTTTTTTTTTTTGGTAAGAGTGTCAGTGTCTGGTAAAGAGGTAATAGATAATGTGTAATTGTTTTTATATGAGGAGTTTAACTGTACCATGGATTAGTAACAATAGCTTATGGCTCTTCAGGAGAAAATGAGTTCTTCATGGTAGTCCACAGTGTAATAGGTTTTCATCATCATAAAAATCCATCATTTCACTTAGTATTTCCTTTTTTTGTGTGTGTGTGTGGGTACTGCTAGCCCATAAAAACAAAGTAATTATATCTAATGGCAATTCTGTCCTTTTTTACCCTTCTTCCTGTGATAAAAATCTTTTGGGTAGAGTAGAACAATGTTCAGTGACCTGATTTAACTCTTTAAAAAACTTACTCTGAGAATACAGTCCTGGATAAAACCTTGCAGTGAATTAAACTGTGGGTGCTGCCTTCGGTGGTGCTTGTCAGATTAGTATCTTGAGTGAGTTGATGTTTACTGAGCTTCCAGAAACATGGAATTAAACAGCAAAACAAAGAGATCTCCAGCCACTCTGCCCCTCACATGCCAGCCTTTGGAGCAGGGAATACTCATGGATAATAAATGGGACAGCTTGTACCTGCAGTAGGGAGTGAAAACTTGCTCAGACAAGTTCCCACCCCCCATGTGAGCAGACCTTGCATGAATTTATGTAACTCTGAAACAAGTTCTTGAAAAATATTCCACTTTTTGAGGAATGGTGAACATTCACTTGTGTTCTTCCATGTTCCTGACAGCTCTAAAATATCTCTGGGTAGGGGAGAAAAATGTGAGAACCCTGATTTTTGCAATTCCATCCATGTGGACAGATCCACACAAATCCCTTTCTAAACTCTTGGGAATCCTGTTCTGGGGCTGTAGGACTTGCTCATGTGTGTTATGTTGAAGGGTTGGAACAGCAAGAGAAATTTTGGAATAAGCAATCCATGTCAGAAGACTGATATAAATTTTTTTACTATAGCCATGTTTAATTTTTCTCCAATGTTTTAACTGTTGTGTGACCAGTTCTTCACCTCCTTAGAAGTACATTCACAGTGCCTGTTCACAAGCTCAGATGAGACATGTATAATATTTGTAGACATCCGAGTTCTTCTCTGTGCTGACTGTAATCAATAACAAATTTCACTTGTGTAATTAGGGCTAAACTACTGTAAACCTGCCCTAGAAAAAAATATCTGTTCTTTTATTGAAACAGCCCGAAGATTTTTAGCTGCTGCAGAGCACAATGAGGAATATAACTGGAAGAAATATCTTGGTTTTTTTCACCTGTTCACACTCCCAGTGATATTGATTGCTGGAGTAGCTTCTGCTGTTTCTTATAATTTCACTTCTTTCACTTCTTACTAAAATGTCAATAAATTGTGCAGATGTGCAAATGCCTGATGACTGAAGCTTGTTAGGAGGAAAAAATCTCTTTTAGTGCATCAGATATTCCAGGCAAATCTAAGAATTGAACCTGTTAATCTCCTTTTTATTTTTATTTCTAACTTGGACTTCAGGTCTTTAAACTCAATTATGTCATGTAAAATATTTTTAGAGAATCTGATGAACAGAACATGTAGCAGGCTGGAACAAAGATTTCTTGTGAGCTGTAGGGTGATCTTTCTTCTTTTCCACATATTTTCTATGTCTGAGCAGTGATGGCTCCATGTTGGATATGATGAGCTGGACTGGGTGGAGAACTTCCAAAACAGAGGTTCAGTTACTGGAACAATAATTTTCCATTGAGTGAACAGAGCTGGGGACACACCCAGAGTGGAAACATGACTTCAGCTTATATAAACCCAAAGAGGGAGTATTAGGAATTCAAAGAGGTGGAAAGTAGGCACAGCTTGATGCATGTGCAAAAATATGGGGTATTTATAGGTAGTTCTGATGTTAATAGTCATGATGCATCTATATGGGGTTTGGGTTTGCAGCATTTCAAGCTTTTTCTGTAGGGGAGTTGTCAGGAACCTTGTGCTGCTGCTTATGAGTGGTGGCAAGATTATTGTAAATACATATCAAACAAAATCACTGTTTTCAGGAAAATTGATTCCATAAGAACTTGAAGAAAAAAACCCCACTTCTGGTAGCACCCTACTCTTTAAAATATTCACTCAATAGATTTAACTTGGGATTTTGAAGTCACACAAAGTGATCATTCCGTATTTACTTGACTCACGTCATAAGGAATTCCTGGTTTCTGGGCAGTAACAAGGTGACGCTGATCTGTGTTTTCATTTTCAGAACCTGCCAGTCACGAGTGTTTGTAACTGTTGTGTTTGTTTTGTCTTTTCCCCGCACGCCCTAAGGACGATACGTTTTTCAAGCCCTTCAAGTATTCTTGCACGACGAGGAAAAAGAAGAAACATTTCAGTGAATGAGGAGTTTTTTGCTTCTATAGTGTTTTCCTTGAGAAGTGGCTCTTTGAATGAGGATGACAATGGAAGAGATGAAGAATGAAGCAGAGACCACTTCTATGGTTTCCATGCCTCTCTATGCTGTCATGTACCCGGTCTTTAATGAGGTGAGCTGCAGTTTGCTTTGGAATGTGACAGTCCCCTTTATTTTGGGAAACATGGGCACAGTAACAGGTTGTTCATTTTGACTGTGGAAGCTTTGTGTCTGACACCATCTCCTTCCCATGCATTGTTTTACCCTTTTTCCATAAATACTATTTCATGCTCATCAGAGGTTGCTGGGTGTCTTGGCCCTGATCTTTTTTCTTACCTTTTACAGAGGATTTTCACAAAAATGCCAGGTCTGGTAATCTGTGGCAGGAAGTAACATACACTCAAACACATACTTGTGAACATTTTAATTTTACTGCTAATGGTTGTAATTTAAAAGGATATTTGATTTTCTGTGAGTATCAGAGATTGGCAAGATGCTCTCAAAAACTTCTGTCAGACTTCTGCTGTAAAATACATCCACTGACATATTTGATTTGAGGAGGGGGAAATCTTTCCTTTGAGATTGAACATTTTAGTGTCTCTCAAATGACACCAGTAATTTGAAAGCCTCTGTCAGTTCCCAGTTTCATTATGTGTGTAAGGCAGGGCATGAGTATTTGACTTGTTTTGTTCTAATAACCTCACAATTCCTAACAATTCTAAACTTTCATTGCAGCTAGAAAGAGTAAACCTGTCTGCAGCTCAGACGCTGAGAGCAGCTTTTATTAAGGTGAGAAGTAACTTGTTTTGAAGAATGATTGTTTAAAAGGTAAACCATATATAGTAAAGCTAAAAAGTCAGCTTTCTTGTGTCCTTGTCTTTGCATCTGAAGGCTCCAACCTTGATCCAGCAGTCTAAAAGTGAAGTGGACAATTGCATGGGCTGTAAGTTTGAGAGGTCTGATGTTATGAGTAGAAGAAATCTGAATGAAACACATTGAGACATTTTAAACAGACTTTCGTCTTGTCCATATAGTACGAAAGTTTAAATGAGGAAGCAGTCAGTGAATAAATAATATACTTAATCTAAAATTACCAAGATTATGTGGCAGAGGTGCTCCTGAGCAGTAGACACACAACAGGCTTTGGAAGTGCTTTACAGTGAGTGATAATGGGATTTTTTGTGAATGAAGATAAGTTCAGTGCTTCTGTCTGCTTCCAGCAGTAAAAGGAAAAAAGTGTCTTCTAATTTATATTCCTAAAGGGTGAAAATTCCTTTATACTCCTTTATCCAAGTGCTGATCTTTTGAAATACTTAAAAATAATTGCAGGCATGACAAATTTTAACATGTGAGCTGTGCAACTACATTGCAGTTCCCTGTTTATAAGCCTAAATCTAAGTGTGCCTTGACAATCTCAAGACTCAGCTAGAGCTCATGCAAGCTAAATGTTTTTGCAACTAATGATAAGGAGCTGAGCTGGGTGCAAATAATGTAAAAACTGAGATATTGGTAGCAAAAAAACCCACCCCACAGTCTCATTCTTATTCCACACAGTGCAGTTTTTTTAGTAGCAGCACAGGTAGTGGGAACACCTCCAGTGTTAGCTGAGCTCTAGCTTAGTTTTACTTAGATATATCATCAATCAAAAGCTGGTTTTTTTACTGAAAAAGCAATTCCCAAATGATGTCTGAGCATATGATGTGATTCATAAGAGGCATGTTAATAAAACGTCCTGTGGAAGGTGGGGGAGCAGCACCTGGCTTTGGAGTGACTTGAATTCCAGTGGATGCAATGTCTTTGTCTCAAAGCTCAGTGTTTATGAAAATATAACAGGATATAGAAATTCATGAAGACCTTTCTCATTCAAATTGAAACGAGTGGAAAAGCTTATTGGAAAAGTTATTTATACCAAATCAGTGATGTAGCCCGAAATAATGAATGTTGTAGTGGGAAAAACGGTTTTCAATGTAATCTACTGATCTAAAACCATTAGAATTTAAAGTTTCTGGCAAACTCCTGCCAGAAATCTGAAGCGAGGTACATGAAAATCTGCCTTTGTGCTTGCAACATGCAGGCATTGCATATTCCAGAGTAACAATTTGCTTTACTGTACAGGCTGAAAAAGAAAATCCAGGTCTTACACAGGACATCATCATGAAAATCCTGGAGAAAAAAAGTGTGGACGTGAACTTCACGGAGTCTCTTCTGCGTATGGCAGCTGATGATGTAGAAGGTAATAAATCTTGTGTTGAATAACTGGATTTTTAATTACACTGTTAACTAGAAATAGGCATTTCTCTGCCTTTTTTTCAGAAGAGGTCGTTTGTTTCTTAATACAATTCTTTTAGCAGGGTAAAAGAAAATTTGCATTTTGTTTTTGAATACCTCTTTAGGAGAAGTTGAATCTTCCTGAAAACCATACTTGAATAATAAGAGAAAAAAAGAAAATTAATGTTAAGGACTGTATTTCTGTGGGTGCATAGTTCACCTTTTGCATTGCTAACAACACAGAAAAAAGCATGTGGAGTATAACGTCCTCTTTTTTTTTCCACCCGTTTCAAAATAAAAGCAATAGTTACACTGTCAGAGAAGGAGAATATAGGCTTTAAATTATTTTAATACTGAATTTGATTGGTGTAGTGCCTTCAGTGCCTCAAATAAATTAAGATGGGCTCTTTTTCCATCGTGCAGTAATAAAGGTGATTGTTGCACTGTGTTTTGGTTCATACAGAGTGTATTCACTGCAGTTTTCTGGTCAGGGCTATTTATGTGCTGTTCACCTTCAAATATCCCATGGCACTACTGCTGCATTTTTGTGGAGTGTTTTTAGCTGTCACTGGAGACTTGAGGACACACTAATGGTGTTTCTGAATATGTTCTTTTTGGTAGAGTATATGATTGAAAGACCAGAACCTGAATTCCAAGATCTCAATGAAAAAGCACGAGCACTTAAACAGATTCTTAGTAAGATTCCTGATGAGATCAATGACAGAGTGAGGTTTCTTCAGACAATCAAGTAAGTACCATGTGATGGATTTTTCTGCAGATTGAGAGGTCAAACTTTTTATTTAGGCCTGATTCTCACTCAAATGTTTAGGATATTCCTTGACCAAACTTACCTTGCTGATTCCCACACTGAATTCCCAGGGCACTGCTCTGACTCTTTGGGTTTGGTCTTGTGACATTGTCTCTGACACTCACTCTGTAGAGACTGTTTTAAGAAGTATTTGATTCCTAGAAGGGGATTAAATTCCAACATTTAAATGGGATCATTTAAGAATATTACAATTACTTTTTTTTTTTCCAAATAGGGACATTGCAAGTGCAATAAAGGAACTTCTGGACACAGTAAATAATGTCTTCAAGAAATACCAGTACCAGAACCGGCGGGTATGTGCAGCAACCCTTCACATACAATATTTGAAATAGTCTAAGAGGAGGCATTTCCTTTTGATCAGAGGATGAGAGGAGACTTTAACTGGTCAATGACATGATGATTTAAGGCCAAAATTGTTGTGTGATAGGTCTGGGCAGTTTTATGGGAAGAGAATGATATCTCTTAATGTGTTCTTAGAAAAATGAGAATCAAAATGCTGTTCCAAACATAATGCCAGCCAGTTTTCTGATCAGTTCAACCTCAAGATTCTCACTGTACCCAACAATACGTGAACTAAGACTCTGCTCCTGATGTTTTTGTTTTCTCAGGCACTTGAGCACCAAAAGAAAGAGTTTGTAAAATACTCCAAAAGTTTCAGTGATACTCTGAAAACCTATTTTAAAGATGGCAAGTAAGTATGGTTTTGTACTAATAATTTACATGAGTAAGGCTGTGTCAATCAACAGGGGAAAACGAGACAAGCTGCCTTTTTCAGCACTTGCCTAATTTTCCATACCTGTGTCCTTGCACTATCATGGCTGCTTTAAATACTATTTCTTTTGTAATGCCTTTGAGGAAAGTGAATTTTTTTAAATGCACCACAATACAACACCCATATGCAGTGTTAGTTTTGAATCTGAATTTGTGAAGTTAAATTTCCTGGCCTTGTGTGGTTTTTCTCAGTGTGCATACAAGGACAAAGAAATTATGAATTCTTTATTGAAAAAGGTAATCTACCTATTTGAAGTATCATTTGCAAACACTAAACATCTGTGCAATGTTCTCTTTGATTTACATTTTTATTGGCCTTTCTTTATAGGCCCTTATAATGCTTTGCAGTGTTTGGAATTACTCAGCTGAGCCTTTTTCTCTTTGAACATTTTAGCCTTCAAACTGAGGCTTTTTCCAGGTCTTCACCTTGGCTTTTGAAGTCCATGTTTCTGTATAATTCACTGTAGTGATTGTTTGGGAAGATGAGTGTATCCCCCTCAGACTTTGACAGTGCCAAAGTGTTCTGTGTGCTGCAGTTCTAAAAATGAGAACTCCCTTTCATGTCAGCTCTTGTTGAGCTTGGCAAAGACTAAGAACACCCAGGAGATGGTGCATTACTAAAGGGCAGGGAAGTCTTAAGACCAACTGGGAATACTATCTTGCTTCAATCAAAGCATTCTGATTTTCTTTTCTTACTGAAATTGGGGCTAAATTTGGTTATGATACCAAAAAGAGAAATTTAGACCCTGCGACTTTATAATTACTGGACAGAAGTGCTGTGTATTGTAGGCATAAACTTAAAGTGTGTTAGTTATTTGCAGTATTGTAAGAAACTCCATAAGGCTTGTATTTCCTATCCTTGTGAAATCAGGAGTAATTTTAATCTGTCTGTACTGCATGTTGAGTGAGAAACCTGCTCCCACCAGGAGGTACCAGCCCCAAAGAGAACAGTCCTGCTCACAGGTGTCATTCCTGAGCTCCAAAACCCAGTGACTCCACACCCTTCTTAACAAAAAGATAGCTAAAATAGCAGTTTACTTCCACATATGTGCATGCTTAGTATTTCTGCAGGAAATATTTGCCAGTTCTGAAATTAGTGGGGGGTGAAGTGCTCTGCTTTGGAAAGAACACGAGTTTGACAGTCACGGGGTCAGAGAATGGCTTGGGTTGGAAGGGACCTTGAAGATCATCCAGTTCCAACCCTGAGTCATCTGCTCCACTTCTTTTCTTAGTTAGCTAAACCCCAGAATCAAACAATTGAGATGTCAATGATGATTGATAGCCCAGTTCTTTAAGTTCCTGCCAAATAAACACAGCCTTTCTAGGATTAGCTGTGCAGATGAGGCCGGGTGCCAGCACTGAGCTTCAGGTAGATCAGGACAGGGTAGGACATCAATATACTTCCAATTTTCAAAGCCTGGATGCCAATAATGCTGGATTTATGGAATGCCATGTTTCTAAAAGCATCTGAAGCAGTGTCTTTCTCTTTCCACAGGGCAATAAATGTGTTCATAAGTGCCAACCGACTAATTCATCAAACCAACTTGATACTCCAGACCTTCAAAACTGTGGCCTGAAAACTGTATATGTTGAGAGTTGTACTTTTCAATGGTGGATAGGGTACCTTTATATGTAAATTTTAAAGTTTTGACTGTATAAATTATCAGCCCCTCTCCGGGGGGGGCCTAATGCAGGATTTTGAATGGGATTATTGCCATCTTACACCATATTTTTGTAAAACATTGTAGCTTAATCATAATCTCACGAGGAAGATTTTGCATCACTTTTTTGCTATTATCATTCTTTTCAGAATTATAAGCCAAAAGAATTTACGCCTTAATGTGTCATTATGTAACATTCCTTATAAGAATTGTAAATATTTGGTGTTCTGTTTCTGACATTTTAACTTGAAAGCGGAAAACTGCAAGATTATGTATTTAACGATATTGGTGGCAAATATTCAATAAATAGTTTACATCTGTTAGACTGTCTTTTTGTATGTGAACAAGAGTGCAGAGCTCATCTTTCTAGAAGTGCAGAACATTCATTAAATAGAAAAACAATTCAAATTATTTGGGTGCTTAAAGCTACTGGGAGTTCAAATCAGTGTAAAATCAGGGGTTTTCCTTAAAGCTGAGATTTTTTTGGCTGTGATCTAGACCAGAATACCAGAATAATTGTATTAAAATGTCTTTGACAAAGTAATAAGTAAACTCAGAAGTGAGATGTTCTTTTGTTTTTGATAGAAACTAAATCTCACTTCTTCCTTAATCTTCTCTTGGTGGTGAGTTAACAGGTTTTTTACTCCTAGACTATTCCAAGGTTTGGAGCAGAGGATTATTTTAAATATATGCAGCTGAGTTTGCAGCAAAGGTTGAGTTTAAAATATTAAGATAACTGGGTTTTCAGTTGGTGCCCTTTGGGAGGGAGGAGGAGAGAAGCTGGAACTCTTCCAGGTAGCACTAGTGATATCTCTACTATGCATGCCACAAGGCAACTTCTATTTTTCAGGGATTGAAATCATGTGAGACCTCCACTGACAAACCTTGAGCTGTGTCGATGGTTAAGAGCTGCTGATGGACAGAATAAATTTATCATTGTGATTTCATGGTGATATTTCACAAATTTAAGGAATCTCTCACGTGCCCCTTTGAAGTGCACCTTGAGCTTATTTTGAAATAGAATAAACCTCTGAAAGATCTTTAAAATAACTAGTAAGTTTAGAGAAGAATGTGAAGCAGTTTATAAAGCTGCACAGGCTGTTGCAGGAGGATCACTCCAGGCTGAAAGAGCACAATTGCTACAGAAATACTCCTTTTTTAGGTGTAAATGCTGAAGAAAAGGTCCATCCAGACTTTCCTTGCACACTGGCCTGGTGCTGTATTGCTCATTTGGGGCAAGTGCCTTATCCAGAGTCCAACAGCTGGGTCCTTGAATTTGGTTATCTGCTTCAACCATCAGAGAGGGGGGAAGTGCAACCTGCAGCCCTCCCAGATAGCACTGGGTGTTCTGCTTTCTGTCTGGCCATGGAATTGTTTCCTTGATGAGAGCACTGCCTGTAGTGAAATGGAACAATGCAAGGAGAGTATTGTGTGGAAATGACTCCTTGGGAATGTACCTTGTGAAATTTCTGGTTCCACATGAAGCTCTAAATGGGACATGGCCCTTAAAGCTTTGCTGTTCAGCCTGTTTTCTGTTCTGACAGTGGTGTGTTGTGTCATTAGCAAATTGAGCTTAGTAACATGACAAAGGGATGCAGATACAATTTAGAGATAAAACTTCCTGTTATTTGTCAAAGCTTGGCCTGCTGAACTGTCATTTCTTGGAAAGTGGTAGAAGAGCAACAGTTTTAGCAGCTACTAAAGAGACAGCCTGACTAAATTAGAGTAATATTTCATTTGCATCTTTGCATTCTGTAAGTAAAAAGGTTGAGTATTCTTCCTTGTGGATGATGTTCACTTCAGTCATAGCTCCAAAGGGCTTCATGAAGACTAATTAGTGAGGTTAGAAGGAAGGGAAGGGCACCTGGAGTTTATGATACTTCATTTGTTTTGAAAAGAGTATTTGGTACTGGGGAGGCTGCAGCAGTGGCTGCAAGGAGACAGAGACATGAAAACTTGGGTTATATTTTCCAAATTGGACTTAATTCCCATAATATTCTGAGATTTCTCAGTTTTCTTGAATTGAGAGAGACAGTAGCAGCTGTTGGTAATCATTAGTTGAATGATACCATGTTTATAAGTATCATAAAAAATATATTAAAAAACCATTTATGACTTGGGTCCCAAACAAGATGCTGTGTTATGTCCTTTTAATTGATTCCTGGTAAAATCACAGGCTGTTGCATCAAGAAATGAACTGTTCCTGTTCGTCAGTTCTCCTCTAAATCTTTACTGGGTAAAAGGTACCAAATACAGGGCTGAGCTTCAGGTAGTCTGGCCAATGTGTTTTGTTTGATTTATAACCTCATTGTGATTTCTTTATGTTAACCTTTAAAATGAATGGAAAATTATTCATTGTAATCAATGTCTGGTAATGGGAAAACTTGAAACCTGGTGTCTTCAGGTCACACTCTTCTGTTGTGTGCAGTGAATCCATATCTAGTGGTCTTATAAACCTCTATTTTCCACTGAATATGAGCTGGGACATATGTCTGTCAAATTTTATTGTGGTTTTTGCACTTTATTATTCAAGTTACCTGAGTAGCTAAAGATAAGTTTCTCTTAAGGATTTCTAATACAGCAGGTAGTGTTGCAAAATGCTCTTAGAAAATTTCTGCTGTGAATGTGGGTTATAACTGCTATGATAATGTTAACATACAGAAAATCAATCTAATAAACAAAATAAAACTTTGTATATTTGTTAATGAAGCAAAGAAACGTCTTAATCACTTGTTTTGATTTTCCTCAGCCTGTAAAAGCAATGAAGACAAGCTCAGATTGGCTTATTTCTGGTTAGAAGCTTGGTTTAGTCGTGATACAAAGGTTTGTGTCTGAGTGGGTGAGATGTGCCTGTGCCAGCTCAGCACAAGGTGTATCTGGATGGTGAGTATGGAATATCACAGTGTTCTGCTGTCACAGCTTCCCTGTACCCAGGCAGTGGGATGAGATCGGATCAGTCTTGATTAAGCATTATCTGTTGACATGATCTTATCTAGATTACCAGTGAAGTTCCTTCTTAATGTTCTCAGCTCCTGCACTGTCTGTCAGGGGGAGAGGAGCCTTGTTCTGCAGGTGTTATCTGATCCTCCTGCAGAGACTCTGCTCCCTCACTTGGGTGGAGAGTGAAAAGAAGGTTGTCGAGACAAACTTGCCACATGTCTGAGCTTTAGATTGTTCCAGTCTGAAGGGGAAATTAAATAAATGCCCCAGCATGTGCAATACTAATAACTGGGTTTGGTACAGCACTGATTGTCACCTGCCTTTGGAGGAGGCACTGGCTGTTCTGCCTGAGAATCTGGCTTTGCCAAGCCCAGCCTGGCTGCTCTTCCCAGAGGACTCTCCAGTGCCTCTTGGGAAGGGAATTGCAGGCAGTTTGTACTGGGAGGTGTGGAAACTCTCTGAGCTTTGCATAATGATTCAGGGCAGTTGTTCCCTGTGCCATTTTTTACTCCACTGTTTTGCTCTTCCTCATACTCACCTGGGCAGATGCTGCTTTTAAAAGAGACCAGTAGGGAATGTGCTTCAGGAGCAGAGGCACTGCCTGAGAGCAGAATTAGTGCTAAAAAGTAGGACTGAAAAGATGCTCCTGGGTCCTTTGGCTTTTTGTTACAGAAATTAAAAAGTGCTGTATAATGTTGGCCTTAAATCTGTCCAGTTCTATTGTAAAGTCAGGTCCTTTGTCCTCATTCCTCCCATTAGATGTCATTTTACAACAGTCTGAGAGAATGAAAAAAAGCCTTCAAATACTGAAGTTTAATATGCTGCATGAATTTAATTTATGATGAAGAATTCACTAACCTTGTCCATGACCAATTGTCCTTTTTCCCCTCTTCTTCACTGAGTCATGGGATGAATTGTATCACCACAGATACACAATCTCAAGGTTTTGGACCTCTAAAAAGAGCAAAGTACTGGGCAATGCTAAAATTGTTCCTTTGAGGCTGAGACAAAACAATTTTTCCTCATGTTTGTAACACAAGCTGGAATTTTGCCAGAGAACTCTTTGGTGCTGGTGTTTGCAAGGTAGGGGAGGAGGGTTTGGCTCCTGGGGAGATGTCTGTGGAGGTGATGGGAGACACCTGTGGAGGTGATGTCCCTTGGCTTCTCTGTCCTTCTCTCCTGCCCACAGATTGCCTGTGATGTTGTAGACACAGTCCTTGATGTCTGAGACACTGCAAGATGCTTCTCACTGGTTACAACCTGTAGCAGCTCCTTGCTGGATGGCATCAGCATTTCCTCCATGACTTGTTTTGCACCTTGTCCTCTCCCCCATCCAGGCACAGCTGCTGTGACAGCTCAGGAGGCAGAGCAGGGGCTGGGGCAGCACGTTGTCACCTCAGGGACTCGTGTAGTGCAGGGCAGAACACCAGGATTGACTCACAGGTGATCACCTGTGATCTCTTCTCCAATTTAACACATATTCCATGTCAACACAACTATTTTTGTGGGATCTGTGCAAGTCCATGGGGGTTTTAATGTTCATTAGAAAGGTCAGGGGAGCAGCTCAGCAACATTTGAGGTGCAAGACTCTGTGCCTGCACTGCACTCCCTAAAGAGCTTGGGCTGTGATGACACCTGGGCACTCTCAGAGTCTGTGATTGTATGATAAAGGGTTTAATCTCTTCCCTCATTCTGCCACCTTTCAGTGCTTCTTATCCCTGTGTGAAGATCAGTGAGACTTTATCTGGCAGTAAGAATTTGCAATTTAGGAGTCAACCCTTCCAGAAAACGTGTGTTGTTGGATAAAGATCAGATTGCTCAGACAATTGCAGTTAAAAGTTTGGTTAAACTTTGCTATTGCTATTCCTTTGGAGTTTGTTTCTTGCCATTAAAGATTTATAAATCATAAAGATTCCTTTTTGAGGCAGAAACCAGAGGTGGCCAGGTAGGGAGGTTGAGTTGGTTTTGTAAGGACTGTCAGTGACACTTATGAGCACCAAGAGGAAGGGATGTTAAATTCTTCCAAGAAACAAGAGGAAGGGAGGATAAATCCTCCTCACCCTAGAGACAAAAGTGTTCTACTTACTCAGAGTATTCAAGAAGGAAAAGTGTTTTTAGTGCTGTAATTCCATTATTGGGGACAAGGTAAGCAAAATAGATTTTCAATTGCTGATTTCTCATGCACACTCAGATCTGCTGTATAAACAGTTGTGAATTTGCATTTGGTATCACAGTCAGAAGAGTGATTACACCTGATGGATAGAATAATTTTAGAGAATATTTTGTAGTACTTCACTAAGCTAAAAAGCTGAAAGCCCTATATCTAAATTAGACGTGTCTCTGACATTTTATTATTTCATAATTGTAACTATTAGACTTTTCATAGTAGGTAATTGCTTTTTTCCCCAAAGCTGCCTTGGTCTCCAAGGACAAGTGATGGGTGAAATAGAAGCCTGAGTGCCTGAAGTTTTAAAGTAAAGAGAATAAAGTATGAGCTACAAATATAATTCACTTAGTCTCCCTTCTTGCTGCTGGGTATCTAATCTCTGCTAGAGCCACAGTGAAAGAATTTAAAAGGAGGCTGAGTTACAACCTTTAAGAAAATGCAGGAACTTCCATGGTGAGTGAATTTCCTAATTAAAATGTTAATTGGAAGGATTTTGCCTTGCTTATCGAGGAAAGTGTGGTAACCCTTTTTTCCCTGCTGTTTGTGCAGGGATGTGATATCAATCATCTTGTGTGGTTTTCTACATCTGCTTAGCGAGTGACAAAGAGCATTTTCTTAAGTGGTTTGGGAGATCAGGAATTCCTGTTGAGGCTGTAACGCAGTGAGGATAATAAATATTGCCCCTGAAGGTTAAGAAGAAAAACTCACAGAATCCTTTAGGTTGGAAAAACCTCCAAGATCATCCAGTCCAACCTGTGACCAGCAAACACCTTTCACCCAGCCCAGAGCACTGAGTGCCATGTCCAGTCATTCCCTGGACACCTCCAGGAATGGGGACTCCACTCAATCCTACCTGTAAGTTCCCTCTGGATCCAGACAGTCCTGCCAGTAAAACTCCCCTGAGGTCTTTTAGCCCAGCCCCAGGATTTAGGGAGCCAGGATCCTGACTGGAGTCTTGACAAGCTCCAGTTTGATACGAGTTTCTCTGAAGCCCCAGAGAGAGCCTTGGTTGCTGCAGGTAATGGGAGAAAAAAAAAATTCCACCTATTTCTATTCAATATGAATTGAAAAGTTAAAGGGGCAAAGAAAACATAATTAGAGCTGAGTTTTACCTGCATTTTTACATGACTTTAAATATAAAACCCAAAGCAAGCATTTAGTTGTAAAGCCGTGTGCAAGTAAATATTTTTATCTGAATGAGAAAGCTGTTTGTTTTTTATTCAAAAACAAACATTTGCATTACAAGGACATAAAAACTAAGTAAGGTTTTGTTTCCTTCCAGCGTAAGGAGAGACCTTTTTATCATGGAATACCAGCAACACCAACTGCTGACGATGCCAAAGTCAGTAAAGTTCAACCTGTTGACCTCTTGCTATCTGGAGCTTTTTCTCATGAACATGCAATAATGCTGCTGTAACTCCCTGTCAATATAAGGGAGCAACTTGCATGAGGAGACTAATGAATAAGAAAAATATAGCTGAGGTGCAAAAACACCTGTTGTGACTGAGTCTATTGGACAGAAATTAAACAGCAAGGCTGACACACAGGAATAATGAGGGATCAGAGCGGCCATTTGGCCAATTCTCATTTCCTGAGGTGTCAGGTGTGATGTGTAACCTTGTCCCAGGGCTCCACCTGCGAGGACATGGAGCCCAGTGGGACGTGCCTGATGTTCTTGGGCTTCTTTACTGGGGAGGAAACCCAGAGACCCCAGCCTGGGCTGGGGCTGCTTTGTTTACCCCATTCTTGAGCTGGAACGAGCAGTTACCACATCATCTGCACCTCGTGTGGGCTGCAATTACAAACGGGAGGGAAGAATCAGGTGCAAACCTTGCTGACTATTTGTGTAATGATTTTTGGTACAAAGTCATCCTTCATTTCTACAGGCTGCAAATTTGTCCCTCGGCAAAGCTCCGGGGTTTAGAGGCAGCACCTGGCATTGCTGGGCATGGGGTTGAGGGCACTTGGATCCCTGCTCTGCCCACAGCCAGAGCTCAGGGACATAACTTCCAGCCCAGACTTTTTATTTGTTTCCAAACTCTTCTCCTGTAGCCCTCGAGGCTGCTGGAAATGGATGGGGTTGGTTTGCACAAGGAACACTCCACATTGCCATTTATTTTCTCAGGAGCCCTCCCTGGGCTGTGTTTGTGTTCAGACTCCAAGCTCCAATTTCAGCTCTTCTCTGAGGTTATTAGTCACTGTCCTTTGAGCCCAACTTGGGGAACAAGGGGAAAAGTTCATCAACAAAAATGCCTAAAGTAAATGGATTTTACCAGGGGAATGGTTCAGCTGTGAGCTGCTGTTGGTTCTGTTCATCTCTAGATTAGTTGTCTCCCTGAATTGAGGACCTGGAACTACATTTTACCAGTTGGCAGCTCTGGGGGTTTTCTAACATAAAGCTAATTCAAAACCTTTATCTTCTGCTGCTGGTGCAAACCTTGCAGACAAGACTTGTTACGTATCTGTTTCCAAAAACTATTTGGAGGAGACTGGTGTGGTAGAAATGAATAAAAAATGTGGACTTGACATTTATTTTCTCGACCTCTGAAAACTGTCTGAAATGGTGAGTGTTAATCTGATGGGGTT